GCGTGGGTCTGCACTGAGAGAAATCGTGCTTTGAACGAGCAATTAGTATACGGATGGGTACCCTCTGATCTACGACTTTCTCTCAGTGCACAACTTTTGGACCGCAACAAAAAAACAGTGGCAACAGCGGCAGCAGTGGCAACAAACGGTAGGCTAATTAAGCACTTTGAGCCGCCGCCGCCGCCGCCGCCACCGTAGACGTGGCCAACATCTAATCACCTGTGAAAAAGGAGGCGAGGCGAACGAGAGGCCGTCGCAGAAAAACACTTGAGGTTCTCGAGTCGAGTAGAGGTCGCTCGGTCGGTCTCTGTTGAGGTCTAAATATCGAATCGATTACGAGTGAGCACGTCAAGTGGACCCGTACTTTTTTGTAGGAATGTTTTCGGTGGATAATAAGTTACTGCCGTGTCATGAGAGCGGAACTCCAGTCTTCGGTCTTCGGTCTTCAGTCATTCGGTGGGATATCTATCTGTTTGTTTGTTGTCTGCGTTGTCTGCTGTGTTTATACAATACATCAATTTTTATGAGCTGTCAGATTCTTGCACTTTGACGTTTGACATTGTTCGGGGGGCCCGGTGTCCGGTTACACCGCACAGCGGCCTACAATGGTGTACAATTATCTGGGGGCTCAATGCCCATTTGCTGGCGATTGTTGCCCGATTCTGATTTGTCGCCGCTGCCACTGCAATTAATCGTTCACTTGTTTGCATGTCACTCTCTCGGACAAAATCCGCTGGAGCTGGAGCTGGTGCTGGAACTGGCACTGAAACTGGAGCTGAAACTGTAGCTGATGGCTGATGATGTCTGAGCTGACATTGAAAATGCGATTATACATGGAAATCATAAATTTGTTAATAGCATTTTGTCAGCTCGCTTGGGTAATTAATGTGTAATGTGCGTTAAGTTCATGAATCATTTTTCGCCAATGAATAGATGGCGACATCTATGGCTTGACCTTCTCTTTTGATGAAGTCACGTAGTAGATGTGAGGCCTTTACCTCAAGCTTTGGGTAAGTTTTATCCTCTGTTGAGAGGCTATACAGATTCCTTCCCCGGACGCTCAGCCCGATTTCCCCGCTACAATCCCATGTAGAGCCATATCAGAGCCGAGTTCATTGAGCCGAGCGGCGCCGGACAAGGTCAGTCTTTTGGGGGGGCTGTGGAACAACTTTCGAAAACTGCAACTCAGTTGTGGCATGCCACAGTCCAAGGACAAGGGCAGGAAGATGCATAATTGAACGAGGAACAAAGCCAGCAAAAAGCTTCATCAAATCCAGAACGAAGCCTCTAATGAGTCAGTTCCCCGAAACAGTTTTCCTTCGCCACTGCAATCACCATTACCACGTCACGATTTGACGTCATTCTCCAACTGATTTGCATGATCGGAGCTCGGTGATCGGAGATCGGATCGGAGCCAGTGGAGCCAACGCCCCAGGTCCCCGAATGCGGAAGTCTGCGCTGCAGCAGTGCGAAAACCGCTACGCATGCGCCTGGAAACCCGTTGGGGCACCCGTCGATTGCCCCACCTCAACACACGCACCTACTCCGGTTCCCAGCCCCCCATTGACCTTGATATTGCGGCAGGCTGCAGTGCGGCGGTGCGTGTGGGGGAAACTGGTCCAGCACTGGACCGGTGGCACTATAAACCACGTTAGTTATGCGGCAATTAAACGGTTGCGCTGCCATGACGTTGACAAGTGCGGGCAAGGCTAAGCCGAGAGTCAAACGGAAAGTGAGACCGGAGAGCGGGGACCGGAGACCGGAGAGCCTTCTCCTGCGAAATTTCAAGCAGATGCGCAATTAGCGGGCACTTACTCGTACATGAAATGGGAACAACCTTCTCGGATTTCACTTTCATTCTGGAATTTTGGTGTTCCGTGATTCTGGGATGTGTAAAAGAGAATGAGAATCGTCTGTCTGACTTTTGACGAATTCTCGCTGACAGGGAGGAGTGTGTGGCAGGGTCAGCTCTATGAGTCAGCTATCAAATCACCATCTCGCCGGGAACCAACCTTCTCCCCACCCCAGAATGGGATTATCTATGGATCTTCCGAATGGATCGTATTTCTCAACAAGTTTAGCGAGTTTCGGTTTTGACTCCAGCCAGGATGAGGACGACGACGATGATGATGGAACTGACTGGGGAACCGATAAGCATTTAGCATTAAATTTTCGTTAACCTTCCGCCTGGAGTTTTGACTCGCTCGCTCGATTTCAGAAAACGCTCGACTGCATCTTGAATTACAAATAATCGCAATTGTCTGTCTGTCCATTCCGTGCTTTGTTCGGTGGTAGGTCTCTGACTCTGACTCTCTCTCTCTCTCTCTCTCTGTATGGCAGCTGAAATAATTGAGAGACAACGCGGAATTAAAGGCGAATCCAGATATGGGAAATGTTCTGCTTTGCATCCCATTCCCCCACCCCTACCCCTAGCCCTACCCCGCTCCGGCTCCGGCAGGGCGCAACCCTCATTATCATCTGAGCGATTGTGATTAACTCGGCGAAAGTGAAAGCCTGACAAATAGAACTATGAATAGAGATCTATGTATCTCTCACTCCCTTCCTCTCCCATGCTCTATATGTACATATATCTGCCTCTTGCGCACAATCAAAATAAAACTGCAGAATCAACCTCCCTCCCTCCCCTGCTGCCTGAACCCACCGCCCTTCCAGTGTATCCTTGGGTGGCAGTATCGTCGCATCAGGCAAACGCCTCGAAATCGAAATCAAAATCAAAAAGGCAGCCAGCAGCAGCCGAGAAATGTTAAAAGGAGGATGAAAACACTAATGTACAGTGAACACTGGATAGAGTGGATGGGTTCTTGTAATACCAGCTGGAAAATATTACTATTGGCTCAAATCTTGTAGAGCTTTAGACAGGGTCTAAGTTCTAGTTGGTTGCTACTCTGTTCCGATACTCCGGTACAGTGGAAACCCTTGCTTCCCCCTCGAGTGTGTCCACTGTGGTTCCATAGTGGCCTGGCAGTTGAAACCCTCCCTTTCGCACCCTCAAGCTAATCCAAAAAATGCTCTCGGCCTCACCTTGGGCTTACTTCCACTTCTCCTTGCTTCCCCCTACCCTTACCCTTGTCGAACCAATTCCCTCCTCCTCCCAGCACCGTCATTCGCTGCTCTTGTTGTTGTTTGTCAACTGATTTAATTTCCTCCTTCTTCTCCGAGTACTCCGCCCAGGCGTTCATTATTCTTCTTTTCCTCCACCTCCTGCTAGTCGAAAGGTATATGGAATAAAAGGTGTGGCTGTCTGAGGGAGAGAGCGAACTGCATAGCTGCTACGAGCGAGCATAACCGAGCGCCCTACCTTTCCGTTGACATATCATGGGCCTCTTTCTTCTGTGCTTCTCCCTCCTCCTGCTCTCCGCACACTTCCCTTCCCGCTGTGAGAGGGCGTTTACTGTTTTTGGTCACACAAACAAAACCAGCCATGATGACGGTGATTACCATTATGAAGATGATGATGATGATAGGATGGCGGACTTGCAAAAGGGCAAATAACGGTGTAAATGAAAATGTTTCTACTTGAGACCGCGCGCTCTCTCTCTCTCTCGCTCTTTTCCGACCACATGCGGCTGCTTTGTGCCACACAAATGATTCCGAGCGTGTCCCTGCGAGTGTGTGTGTGGAAATTGCTCATTAAAATATTGAAAACCGATTTGCATAGACTTAACTGTTCCCATTCTAGCCCATATCTGAGGTTGTGGCCATACCTCTAAAACCCCTCTTGCACGTGGCACTCGGCACTTGGCCCTCTCTTGGGGGGATTATGCAATGTAGTCCAGTGGGTCTAGTCCACCAAGAGACTAGACTAGACTAGTATACATACATCCCATATGCCATCCATGCCACAATTTCCCTTGGCCAAACTCTTTCCTGACCTACTGTATGCCATCATAAATTATGATCAAAAATTATGCAAAATGTTCTCAAACAATTGTTTGATTGGATGTGGGCGGGACGCATGTGGGTGGCCATAAACAAGGCCCGGACAATGCCTGCAATCGGACAAACACAAACACAAACACAAGCACAAACACCATAAATAATTGAAGCCAGTCTCTCGGCGAGAGTCAACAAGTCAAAGACATTGCAGCAACCCTGGCTTGCAGTGGTTCTGATTGTTGCCAGGTGGTTATGGCCACGCCACAAAGTCCAGCGATCTAGATATAAATCATTACGAGCTTGTATGCAGAAAATGCAAAAAAAGAAACATTGGGAAAGAGGGCTGGCTCCATCATCCATCAACAAATCGAACAGTTTTCGAGAGGTATCCTCCATTCGCACAATGATCCCCCAGAGAGGATCTTAGATGTTTGATTGTTCCACCACAGGTTTGGCTTGAAGTGGAACAAGTTTGTTGGCCAAATTAAACGATTGCCCTGAAAATTACATCATGCACCCGCGGCAGCCGCAGCGGCAGCGGCAGCGTCAGCAGAGAGCAGAACCAATTGATAATTCGCTGTTTTCCCTGGCAGCTCCAGTGGCTCTCAGATGGGATGGGAAAACTCTGAAGCTGAAGTGTTTAAATAATTAAAAAATAGTTTTGTCTTGGGCTGTGACTGGAGCTGCAACTGGAGCTGGACCTGGGCTTGGGCTTGGTATAGAAAGCAAAAGTAGACGCTCGAAGCGAAAGAGTACGAAACTGGTAAAACGACTCGGCAGCAACGATAACCACGAGCCACACACACATACCACCATACGGACGGTACCAATACCAGCCTCAAAGTTGACTTATTGGAGCACTTAGCTCGATTCTTGTTATTGTTACTGTTACTGTTAACACTCGTAATACCAACACAATTACAGAGGTAACAGCAACAGCAGCAGCAGCAGGGGCTTGGGGCTTGGGGCTTGGGGACAGGGGATCGGGGCTTGGAGTGCCTAGGCGGAGTCGGCGGCAGCAGTCAGTCCAAGGTTTCTGCTGCCCCGAACCGCTGATCGGACTATAAAAAGCTTGGGCGGCGCCGTTGCGGAAGGCAGTTTATTGAATAAATCGGTTGTCGTCGGTCCAAGTCCAGTCCCCCACATCCGAGTCCAAAATCCCCTCCTTGCTAACGGACAGCACAGTGTAAAGGCGCGAGTGATACCCCCATTCTCCAACCATTCTGAGAGAAAGAGAGATCTAGAGTGCAGTTTACGCCGTAGCTTATCAAGGATAGAGATCCCCAAAAGAAAATTTAACAAAATGTTCCGCTTTGTGAGTTTTGCTTGATTTAATTGGACTTGATTTGAGAGTGTGTGTGATGCTTATGAGAAATATTTGACAGCTCGCCCTGACCACCCTGGTGGCCCTGGCTGCCAGCCAGAACAACTACCACCAGGACCCCAAGACGGCGGCCATCATCAGTGAGCAGAGGTACCTGTCCGGCGACGGGAAATTCGGGGCCGCCTACGAGCAGGAGGATGGCATCAACTTCAAGGAGGAAACCGATTCCGATGGCACCCGCCATGGCAGCTACAGCTACGTGGATCCCTCCGGACAGCGTCGCACCATCTCCTACACGGCAGGCAAGAATGGGTAAGACTGGGCTCATGTTTATTCTCTCCGGGATTCAGACGATCAATCTCGATCTCCCCCTCTCTACCGCAACAGCTTCCAGGCCTCCGGCGACCATCTGCCGCAGGCGCCGCCCGCACCACCGCAGCCCGTGCCCACCGCCGGTTACCAGCCACAGCCGCAGTACCAGCCCCAGCAGCAGCAGCAGCAGTACCAGGCACCCGCCCCCCAGCACCAGCCGTCCTTCCGCAGCAACGACTACGATGACGGGTCGTACGATCCCCGCTATAACGATCCCAGCTTCGGCCAGAACCAGCAGACTTATCATCAGCCGGCTCCTCAGCCGCAGTACCGCCCCGCCCCGCAGCCCGCCTACAATCCGGCCCCACAGCAGACGTACCACCAGCCTGCCCCACAGCCGCAGTACCACCAGCCGCAGCAGCAGCCCCAGCAGCAGCCGGCGTATTACACCACGACCACGCCCAACCCCCATCGATTCTCGCCGCCCGGCAAGCTCTCCCTCAACCGCACGCCCGACGGCTTCACCTACTCCTTCAACAAGGTCTAAGGGATCTTATATGGAGACATAGAGATAGTTCTAGATGTTGCATCTTCTTCATTACTCTTTACTCTCTCCTCCCCCCTAACGCCCCAACGCCCCAACGCCCTAAAGCCTTCTTCTGTCACCCCGTTCTTATTCTTGACTTCATCAAAACTCTTGTGTGATATGTTTAAGAGCAAATTGTAAACTATGTATCGTACATCGTACATCGCATCGTACTTCCTATATGCGTATGAGCCGCTCTTCGTTTATTTGTAACTTATAATCCTCCTCAGATCCGACTCCCAGCTCTTATGCTATCATTTCTTACTCTAATCGAAGCTGTCTGTCTAAATGTAGAGCGAAGCAAATAAACTTGTTGCGGTTCGCAGATGTTGAATCGAAATCCAAATCAAAATCAAAATCAAAAATTAAATATTCTGGGCCTTGGGACCTCTGAGCAATTTTTATAGAGAACATAGATATTGTAGATCTGTAAGCGCAATATACATATGATACTGAAATTGATTGAATCTTAATCCTGTTCGTTTCTTAAGTCTTTTGTTCAATTATTTTTAGCAGATTTATCTAAGCACCTCCGGCAGAGAACGCCCACTCCCCAGAGCCCAGAGCCCAGATACTCGTACTCGTACTCGTACTTGTACCACCCCCATGTACCCCCATCGACGACTGCATTACACAACCAACTTTCGAGCATGCAAAACGAGTTCCAGTCCCAATCCCAGTTTCGGTCTCGGTTTCTATTACGATTCTATGCCAGCAGCAGCCAACACAACAAGGAAAGGCTTTTGGAAACTGGTTTTTGCCCATTTGACAGTAATCTTGGCCAATTGTGCAAAATTCCAATAGAAAATGAAATCAACTTGGCGGCTGCCCCCTGTCCCCACACCCCCATGCTGATCCGGAAAACTATGCACAGTCGGGGAGAAGTTAATGAATGACTAATTCTAGTTCGACTTGTCGGGGCAAAGTGTTCGATTTAGCATGGCCTAATCACACCCACGAGCCCCACCGATAGAGGGTAGTACTGGAGCCATACTTCCCCTCGAACATTGCAGCATAAACATACTTTCCACATCCATTGTTAGGCATTCTTTTGCACCACTACAAGTATTAGCTCCACTAGCAACAGCAGCAGCTTTCAAGGTCAGTTTTGTTGTGGACTGGTGTCCGGCTCTCTGCTTCGATTGGATTGGCTTTTGCTTCTGGCCTGTGCCTCGGTCTGGCTCTGGCTCTGGCTGGCTTCTGTTGAAATTGTTCAGTCAATTAAGAAAATCAATTTGGTTTTGTTTCTTATTGTATTTTATGGATTTTATTTGTTGTTGTTTTGCTAGTACTTTTTTGCACCCACTTTTGTGGCAATCGCAATCGCGTGGACTACGACTCGGATTCGCTTACTCAATGGCGGATTTTCGTTCGGCTTTTGCGAAAGAGGTAAAAGTCAAGAATGTGCTGGCCATCGCCATCGAATGGCTATGGTATCGGAACAAATCGGAACAGGTGCTTGCAAGGTGTGCTGTCGAGGGTACGGGCCTTTTATGGCTGTTTCTTTATGCACTCGTACTCGTAACTTCAATGAATTATTTAACTCTGAAAAATGGCAAATGTTGAAAGATGCTGGAGGTTACTGTTTTGATGATGTCTGTGGGTGTGAAGAGCTCAATTATTTGATCAATTAAGTGCAAAGTAATTAGCTTTTTAGTCGTCGATTGTAGCTTAATCTGATTTTTATATTCATTCAACATTCAGATTACGAATCATCCACACACCTCGGTTTACCTCGGTTAGATTTGTGTGGAAAGTGGATGGGTGTAAAGCTCACGGGCAAGCGTTTCTGACCCCTTCCGCCTGCTCATCCACATCCACTAATTCGGAGATCCGAGAAAATTAATAACGCAGAATCATAGAGGGAATCTGCATTTGATCAGATTATTATTATAGCCAGAAGTAACAAATGAAATTGTAGTGGGTACGCAATGCCCTCCACGCGCTTACTTCCCTCTCTTTCACACACTCTTCATCGTGCGCCGTCTGTCGGAGGGAATCGAGATTTGGTTGCTATGCTGTTATTTTTGAAAAAAGTTTTTGCAGAGGTCAGGGAAATTTGTCAAATATCAAACATATTAAAAAGTAAAATTTATAAATTTATAATTAATCATTCAATTTTATTTAGATTGTACATACATAATTTTAAAAATATTACGAAATAAATCTGAATGATATCTTAAGAGCGATATTCTACAAAATTACAGAATTACTGAGAGATTCAATTAAATAAATTATCTTTCATTTTGTACATATTCAGGCAGGCTCCGTTTTTCATTTACTTTTGCGGATTACGTTTTCAGCCAAAACGTTTCGTTTTCGTTTTAAGGTGTTCCATTTTTCACATATTTTTTTATCGATATGTTACATTTTGAAGTCCGAATTAAATTGGGCGGGAAACAGCTGTGCTCACCCAGATGTTCTGTTAAGCACATGTTACAAGCACAGTCTGAGCTGTTACATGCACATTTGTGCTGTTATACGCAAAAATTTATTAATTGCCAACGTTCCGATAACCAAATCGGAATGCGTCAGCTGCTTACACCAAAACGAAATTTGTTGTTGCTGTGGCCAATTTTTTCCGAGCCAAATTTTAGGTTGGGTTAAAATAAAATTATTTATAAAGAAAGCACAAGTTAAATTACCCTGATATAGGTATCAAGTTGATGTAAATGAATCAATAAGTCATCTATTTTTTTCCTTTTGCAATTAAGGTTCGTTTTGTTGTATAAAAAGCCGTTTCATTTCGTCAACGAAAATGTTTTCGTTTTGAAAACGAAGAAATCTTGCGGAATGGGAAAAAGAGAGCCCCAATTTATGTGATTTCAAAAGTAAATCGGAAAACTTTTGTGAATGTGAAAAACGGAGCCTGGCTGATTGTTAATTAGTTCAAGTTACAGCTGTATTAACACGGTTGTTAGAATACCCCAAACAATAGTTTGATTGTGGGGCAGATTTTCAAACATTCATAAAATCTAAAAACATCGATGTTAAAAAACCTTGTTTTAGCCAAAATACAATAAAAGCAAGGATTAAAAACTATCCAATCTTGTAGAAAATTTATTCATCAATGCGATAAAACTATGTGGGCATGGCTAAATGTTCTATATATCTAAAAATATTCCCCGGAATATCAAAAACGAGGATTATGTATAGTGGAACTTGAAGTAGTCAGTATATTAACGGTATATTTTTAAAATAAGACCGTATATTTCGGTGTATTTCTGAGCGTCTGGCGGTATATTTTAACGATAAATCCGCGGTCACACTGGATACGAATAAAATAAAATTTAAATTTAAAATACGATTTAAAATACGCCTAAAAATGGTGAAAGAAAAGCCATTAAGTCAAGAGCAATTGATGGGACGGATCAAATCCGTTTACGTGAAACATTTCGTGTAAGTATGTGGTCGCCAGAAATGTGACATACGCGTCCTCCCATGCATGCACACCGGCGGTCACGGCAGAGTTAATACAGTTTTTGTTGTTTGGTAGGTCCTACAAGGAGGTAACTTATTATCCCAGCAAATACCTGAATGTATTGACTGGGCCCAATGGAAGCGGAAAGTCGACAATAGTCGCTGCAATAATGATAGGCCTGGGCGGCGAGCCACAATTGCTCGACCGCTCCGCCAGCCTTAGCGACTACATACAAAGCGGCGAAACTGAGGCTACAATTGCTGTTACGATCTACGGTCGCTCAGAGCACACTACAGAGGCTTTTCGGCGCATAATATCTTCGGATGGAACGTCGAGTTTTTATGTCAAGAATATCAAGCAGACGAAGAAAAACTTCCAGAACATAGTCGCGTCCTATAACTTGCAAGTCGGCAATTTGTGCCAGTTCATGCCCCAGGACCGGGTTCAGGTAAGACCGGGCCGACATCTAATGCATGTAGTTTGAACATGTCTAATTCAATGTCTAATACTGTGATCAGGACTTTTCCAAGATGAATCCTCAGGAGCTGCTAATGAACACAATAGCTTCCATATGTGACGATGACCTGACCAATAATTTTACTCAGTTGAAAGCAATGCGTTCCAAGCAAGTCAATGCCCAATCTGATAGCGAAAAGCAGAAGAAAAGTTTGCAGAAGAAACAACACCGCTTGGAACAGTAAGCAAACGCCAATCCAATGGTTAAATAACTACAAATTCTAATACAACCTTCCAGGTTAAAAGCGTCTGTTGCTCAATTTCGAGAACGCGAGGAAACAAATCAAAAGGTGAACATATTTAAAATAAAAAAACTATGGCTCGAGGTCGAAAAGAGCGCAGAAAAGGCAGCTGAATATAGAGAACAACTGGCGACGGAAAAAAAGAATTTCAAGAAAATTGAAAACACCTTCAAAAAGCACAAGCAATCGCAGGAGCAGAGCGAAAAAAAAAGAACAGACCTGAGGAATGCTTGCTTGAACACGGTAATCCAGATCCCCTGACTATAGTCAAATTTAAAACTTATTTACATTAAGAAATGGATGAGTAATGAGTTTTATTTTCAGATTCGTACTTTGGGCCAGGCTGAGGTCGGGCATAATGTTATAAAGGGGCAACTGGAGAATGTGAAGCTGGAAATCATACACAATAGATCAGCATATGAGGTTGGTAACATTTTGTGTAATTTAAAAGGTTTTTTATTTCAAAAATTTGTACATTTTATAAAGACTGAAAAGCAAAGAGTAGCGCAGTCGGCAGCAGAAGCCGAAAAGGTGAAACAATTAATAGATGCTAGAAATCAGGAGCTGTCTGAATTGAACAAAAACAAGGCGAACATCATGTCCGAATTGGAAGGTCATCAAGAATCATTCAATAATATCAACAAACGGGTATTTGAGCAGTTCAGTAAGCGACAAAAGCTAGAGAACGCTCTAAATGATGAGAAGATTCCGGAAATGACTGCACTGAAAAATAAAATGGACAGACTGCAAAATGTAAAAACGCAAAAGATGCAGGAGCTCAGCCGAACACAGCCAAATTTGGCTGCTGCTATGGATTGGGTTGAGCAAAATAAGCACAGATATCGACTCCAAATCTATAATCCCATGATATTTGAGGTAATTGGAATGGTACACTAGTAGCATTGAGTTTTAACCACTCTCGTCGTTTCAGCTATCGATGGAAAGTGAAGACGCAGCGAAGTACTTGGAGAATGTGGTTAAACAGCGGGACCTCTTTGCGTTTGCTTGTGAGGACAAAACTGATATGTCCGATCTGATCAACGAACTGTGTGTAAGGCAGAAGCTGGGTGTGAATATTATATACTGCGCACCAGCCGATACATGCTCGTATAGTCCCACTGTGCCGAGAAGTGAACTGCGGTAAGCCTGCCCTGCCTTCTATTCCATTGTACACCGATCGATTGCAATACTCTTTCATTCGTTTATAAACAGACCATTGGGATTTAACGCGTATCTGGTCGATCTAGTCTCGGGACCAGCACCCATTCTGAACAAACTCTGTTCGACATACTCAATCCATAATATTCCCATCGGCTCAGACGCCGTGAGCAATCATACATCATCCATTCCAAAGGGAATTCGCGTATATTTTGGAGGTACGCCTGAAAGAAAGACAAACAATCGGGCACTCTAGTTTAACTAACTGAAATATTGTGCTTTCTAGGCAACAAGAAGTTCATAGTAACCACGTCCCGATACCGGCCTGACACCATACTTACGGAGAGCACGATTCGAGGAAAGAATCAGCTGATTGCTGTTGATTCCGAGCAGCTGGAGGCGCTTAAAAGACAGTATTCCGAAGTTGTCGGACAGCGCGACAGACTTCGAAATGCCATTACATTACTCGATGCAGAGTTTGAACGTTTGCAGGCCAACCGCAAAGAAGTGGCAGAAAAAAAACAAACTGTCGAACAAAAGTTATCGTATATTAATCAAGTTAAAGGTGAAATAGAGAAACTTTTGAAAAGGTTTGAAAGGCTTGAGGAGACTTCCAATTGTGAGTACTTACAGCTCTCTCCAAACCAATTCAGATTGCACTTAACATAAATATTTTTAGCATTGGATTCAATCAGAAAACAAGCTCATGACACTCTGCTCGTGAATATGAAAAAAATACGAGACGCTGAGGACAAACTAGTGAACAATTTGGAACAAATTGGAAGGTTAATGTGCGCAAAGAAATTGGCTAAAGAAATGGAACAGGTTTATCTGCGACAACAAGAAAGTCAAACCGATTCCCTGAAAGAGACAGAAGAAATGTTTAATTCAACAAAGGTACGTAGTGGAATAGTAGACAAACAGCTAACAGATCCGATACATTCAACAATTATACTATCAGAATAAAGTCAACCAACTGTCGGAGCTGTACGAAGGGCAGACGAGAGAGAGCGAAAAGAAAAAATACGAAATCAAGCTGCGCTGCAACGATGTGCTGCCCAGCGATGCGACATTCCCTTTTAAAGACGAATTGAAGAATATGGCGAGCATGGACATCAATCAAGTTCGCGAGGCAATAAACGACCACCAGGCCAGATTAGAGTGCATGCAAAACATAGATACAGACGTAAGTTGACTGTGCTCTGCGTGCAATTGGCTTCAGTATTAAATGGGATTGCTTTCAGGTAATCAAAGATTTCAATGAACTGCAAAATGATGCAAAGGCCCTTGAAGAACTGATTCTTGAGTCGCTAAACGCTGAGAAGACGCTGGAATCCGATATGTCTGCCTTATACGAAAGCTGGATACCTAAATTGCACGACCTAATAAGTACGATCAACAATAAGTTTGGCGAATTTATGGAATCTATCGACTACGTGGGAGAGATAAACCTGGCCAAATCCGATAAGGTGTTGCATTCGTTTTGTGTCTCTTACGTTCTCTTAAATCTAACAAATATTTTGTATTATTAGTTCGACTTCGACACATATGGCATCCAAATATTGGTCCAGTTTAGAAAAAATACTCCACTACAGACGTTGGATAAGTTCATTCAATCTGGCGGCGAGCGAGCAGTCTCCATAGCAGTGTACTCGCTAGCCTTGCAACACGTCACTCACGTGCCATTCAGGTAATTAATCGAAACCGAATGCGAAAATATCCAAAATACGTATTTACTCTTTTTAGGTGCGTCGATGAAATAAATCAAGGCATGGACGCTAAAAATGAACGTAATATTTTTAATCTACTTTTAAGGGAAGCCACCAAGCCTGGGTCGGCTCAATACCTTTTCGTTACCCCCAAGGTACGAGTATATACTTACAATGTTGATTACAAAATTTAGGTGTTGTCATCGCTCAGCTGTCTAGCACGAACATCCTTCTTGGCTCTTCCTTCTTTCAGTCTGGAATATACTGATTGTTTGATTTCAGCGAAAAGACCGAGCAATGCTTCCCTTTTCTTTGTTCGCGTTGACAAGCTATCTGTTCCTTCCACAGCCAAAGAGATTAATATATTCTATTTTTTCTTCTATACTTTCAGCTGCTGTACGATTTAGATTATAATGAAAAACTGTGCGTCGCTATTGTGTGCAATTCGCGATCAGTTTCGGAAAACCTGAAGTTTCCAATGATTGAAGGATTTTAATCAGTAGTGACATTGTTGAGTATTTTGTAATGAGCCAAAGAAGAATGGCAATAAACTTGAGCCTTGAAGACTAGCGTTTTGTAAGAAGCTGACTTAAATCCAAGCATTGATAAGTCACCTAAATTAATATTTTGTAAATGTATATATCCCTGCTGATGCATTCAAATTATACGTTTATCAGAGACGAGACTGTTTGGAGATAGCAGAATTGTGTGTTTGCTTTCTTTATTTGTGGCCTTATCCAGCCTTTTTAGAGGGTCTACAATTGATCTCATAAATGTAAAGACCAGCTCGTAAAGTAATTGTGGTTGCGATGGTATGATAGTATCTGTTATAGTATTCTGCTGATTTCTGTTTCCCTGGTATCCCAGAAATCATAGCAGACACACGCCGTCCAGGGCTGGCAGCCACTCTCATTGGCGACTCCGGGAAGGCCATAGATCAGATGCCCACAATTTCGCAGCGAGATCAGGAGGAGGCAGCAGGTTGATAATGGCGGTTCGGAAGCGCTGCTGTGCTGGCTCATGGCTCATGACTATTAACGAAAGGAAGAGCGATAGAACGACACCAACTCGCAGCAAATTCAGCTTTGTCGTTTTGCTTATTGGAACATTGGACAGTGACTGACTGAGTAAGAGATACAATTAAATAAATGGTCTTTTTTATGTACAGCACTATATTACAACTAATCTACGCACTTAAAGGTAGTATATAGTTCACGTGTTAGGACTAACTGCTACCTCAGCTTTCTACACGTTGATGACCAGTGCCGTGGATCTGTACTTCCGCTTGGGCTTGATGACCGTCTTGGACTTGGGCGGCCGTTTCAGATCTCCGCTGGGCGGACGTCGGCGGGAACGCGTGTCTCTGGGCGGAGGTGGTGGCGGGTGATCGATGTATTTGTTGCGCAGGGGGCCGGGGCCGGAGAAGTTGGGTGGCGGATAGGACTCGAAGTCCTCGATGTCGAGATCGGGCCTGGACTCCTGCTCGTGCTCGTGCTCGTGCTCGTGCGCCTGCGCCTTGAGGAACTTCTGCAGTTTGGGATTGTTGAGAAGCTGCAGCTTGATGGCGTCGTCGAGCAGCTTCTGCTGGTCCTCAAGGTAGGCTTCGATCTGTTTCTTGGAGGCCACGTTCTTGTAGCGGTCATGACTCTTGGGCCGTGACACTGGCACTGGCACAACCTCATAGTCATCGTGATCCGGTTCGAAGACGCTGTAGGAGTTGCTGCTGGACGATGCCGTGGCCTTGGGGGGCGGCACCAGGTGGAAAGGATCTGGCTCTGGCTCGTACTGCAGCTGAGTCCACTTGGAGCGCTTGGGTGGTGACACATCCTCTCCAGATCCCACGTGCACATCGGATGAGTAGCCTCCGCCAAAGCCTCTTCCTCCTCCTCCTCCTCCTCCTCCTCCTCCGCCTCCACCTCCGCTCTTATATGGAATGGCGGTTACGTACTTGGGCTGCTTGGCGTAGCTGGAGCTGGGGCCAGCCTTTTTGGGGACTGTGATAGGATGCTGGACGCGTATCTGGGTGCCGATGGTGTACTCTCGACTGTCTTGGACCGACGACTCGCCCGAGTATTCGGCGGAGTTGTAGCGCTCTCCGGAATAGTCATCTTCCTCCTGGCAGAAGGCAGAGTTTTGAGTGAATGGGACTGGATTGACGGGCAACGGGCACAACTCACCGATCCATAGGGTCTGTAGTGGGATTTCTTGGGATACTTCTTGGTCACGTCCCGGCGCTTGCTCTCGTTTGTCTGCAGGTCAGCGCGTAGATAGCCGGAGGGTGCCAATCGAATGGGTCCTGGCACTGATCCCGAGCCCTGGCCGGATCCCGGGGCCAGGGCACTGTAGTAGCTCCTGCGATAGTAGGACCTCGCCGGTCTCTGGCCAGAGGCGGTCGCGACCAGCAGCACTGCCACAGCCAAGAACTGTAATGATTATAGTTAGTGCTGATCCTCGCTCAGATTCGATTCGATTTGATTTCCGCTTACATTCCAGTACAGACGCATTGCGAGTGTGGGAGGGCTTAGAGGGTTCGTTCCGATTTAGGCTTCACTCAGGGACCTGTGTCTCTGCAACGTGAGTTGTATCTTTGAATCAACCACCAGCGTGGCAACAACGAAACTGAAAGTTTGGCCAATGAACGCAACAGTTTTATGGAAGCTTCCTCCTCATCGAATCTGCGACTCCAACTCCGCCAGCGACTCGAACCTGCCGCAACGGCAACGGCAACGGCAACATGTTTTGCAATTGAAACCTGCCGGGGCAGGCCGGGCCGCCGACCAACCGATTGAAATCTCTGTCTGTCGGCCTGTGCTTCACGCATGGACTTGTTGCAACTTGGAGAGGAAGCCAGGGTCCAAACCAGAGACACAGCCAGACCCAGAGCCAGAGCCAAAGCCAGACCTGAGGCTGCGGCTGCGGCTGTAACTGAGGCATCATTTGCATTTCCAGTAGGAAATAGAGCGCATGCGCAGAGGGGCATAAATAAAATGTTTCTTTATGGCTGCAATTACGAATAACGATGGCGATTTGCCACGTGGAAGTGGGGGGGAGTGGAGTGGCGTGGAATGGGCTTGGGTTAAATGGTTTAGTTTTCGTTTTTTGTGACTTAATAAGAAAGTAGACAAATTAGCTGGAAGCCGAACACCCGCCCCATCGGCGCTTCTTCATCAGACCAGCATTGTGTGGGGAAAACGGGTTTCTATTGCTCAGACCTGGCTCTAGCATCTCTTACCGCATAGATGCTGCTCTCCTGCTCTCCTGCTCCCCCTCTTTGGTGGCCCCAAGTTCAGGTTCAGTGGGGGCCAAAGCGAAAGAGCCAGGAAAGCCAGGAAATGTTAGCCAGGTGCTGCTGCTGCTGGAGCTGGAGGTGGATATGGCCTTTTTTGCTGGCACGCTTGGACTACTTTCTATGGCAGGATGCGCGCTCGAAATGCGGAAGATGCAGAGGCTGCTTTTTCTGGTTGTCTGCCGGTAGGTGGAAGTGGAATTGGAAATGGATGTGGATGTGGATATGGACATGGTCGCGGACAGGGACTTCACTTCGATCCATTGCATAACGTTTCATCGCGATTCATTTGCACAATTATTTACACGCTTATCCTGTCCATGTGTCCGCCTTGTCCGCCTGTCTGTGCATGTCTCAGCCGCCCGATCACATGCCCAGGGAAGATTGAGATTGCCGGCAATTAAAGCGATGCCTCTAATTAAACTCGAGTCTAATGCCGCCTTGATTGAGGCCTTGGGGCACGGCCTGCATAATTGTGCAACTAGCGGCAATTGCAGCTCGTTTGCGGGATGGACCAAGGGGTGCCACTCGAACCCACTCGGGCGCTCTTTTGCCAAGGTCAAGCTCAAGTTCAATACGCATGACAATTGCTGTGGCAGCCCCTGCCACTGCCACTGCCACAGCCACAGCCACAATCGTCCCGCATAATTTCCGTTTTCCTTGTGAACAAATCAAAAGTAGACTTGCACTTGGACGTGCTCTGGGGCTGGGGCTGGTTTCCGCTCGAGTCTTAACAATGCCATTGCCACAAACGGTTTTTGCTTGCAAACATTTTGTGAAAGGAGCTGGAGGACTGTGGCCAGATGGGGCTAGGCTGGGATTGGGATTGGGGCTTGGGAAATGGGCATAAGCAGGTGGGCAGCCCCGAGCAATGACTATGCCTGAGATCTGAATGATCGCTCTCTCCCCTATAAAGCCACTCAATTATCGACGGAATTGGGCCTGATTGAGCGTACCCCAATTGGCGATTGCGGCAACTCGATGTGCATTGTGTTATACATCAGTTTATTAGCATATTTTCCATTACGAACTAAATTAATACCGCATCGAGCTGCTGCTCACAGATTAGTCAAGATCAAGGTTGTGCGTTGGGTGTTGGTTGTTGGTTGTTGGATGTTGGTTGTTGGGGGTTGGATGTTGGGTTTGTGCATATATCAAATCACTGATTCCGCTGTGGGTGATGTCAAAGTTTAGCAGATGATCGTTAAAGTAATACCCCTATGCCATCTCTCTCTCTCTGTCGCTCTGTCAGTCTGGCAGTCCCACGCTGATCCGCTGCCGAGCCGAACTTCGGCGCGCCTGTGCATCGCTGGACGACGACTGGGTGCCCACTATGAGAGCGTCGCCGTTGAAGCAGAGGCTGCTCCGCAGGTGTTTGCGTGGGTCAGGGGAGACAGCCTCCCCTCCATCCCCTGCATCTCCCGTACCCGCTGTCTCTGCCGATGATTTCGGCAAGATTTTCCGTGTGCTGTTGTTGGTGCTGCTGGCAGAGTGGCTATTATTATGTATACTCTTATTATAATTATTTAATGGCTTCGTGCGACTAGTTTCCATATACGATCGCTGCTGCTCTGACTGTGACTGTGGCTGTGAATGTTCCCGACTTCCGGTCGGCTGATGACGCCGACCCTCTGTTGGCAGCGGCAGTGGTGCCTCGTCTCTGTCTCTGTCTCTGTCTGTGTCATCGTAGTAGGCATACTCGTCGGCCTGCTCGTTGTAGGTGACGTGCTTCTTTCGCAGCCCGGGACTTCGCAGCTGCAGGCGACGCAGTCCGCTGTCCATCCAGTCGAGGTCCTCGCCGGGAGCCTGCTTGAGTATCCGCTTGGGCACTGGGGCCCCTTGCAGGGGCAGGACGGGCCGACGCCGGCTCTCGGACTGCCACTCGGGACGGCTGTCGTTCAGGGGCTTCTTTGTGACCTTCGGCTCCACCTCCACGCTGAGGCTGCGCACATTCCGCTTCACCTGGAGCTTGGGGCTGTTCTTGGAGTTGAGCTCCACCTCGCGCTTGTCGTTCATGTCCATTTTGGGCCGCCTGGCGTTGTTCTGGGTGGGCGTGTGGCAGTCGTCTTGGTTGACGTAATCGTAGAACTGGATCGTGGAGCTGTACGCCTGCTTGCGGCGCTCGCAGGTGGCGTCCTCTTCCGGGTGGGCACTGAGCAAGGGGAGGTTGCCCCTGTAGGGCGATACCTCTGTCAGCTTTGGGGTCACCTCCCGGCGCATGCCCCGCCTCAGAGAGGGACGGTTATCCTTGCTGGGCTGCAGGTTGTCGTAGAACTCGATGGAGGAGCTGGCGAATTCCTTGTGGAACATGCGGCGCGTGTCCACCTCGGGGCCCGCGTCCTGTATGGAGGGTTGCCGCTGGATGGCCGGTCGCGGGGGCTCCAGCTGGAGGCTGTTGCGCCGCTTGACCCGCGTCTCCACCGCCGAGTCGAGCTGGGAGTCGTCCGGCCAGAAGAAGTGCGACTCCTGGCGGTTGTACACCTTGGCCCCCTGCCGCTCCACCATCTTCGGGGGCAGGCCCGTGTAGAACTTTCCGTTCAACATATCGCGGGGTCACGTCAACTGATTGGCAACCGATCCGGAGACCGACTGACACAAAGAATCCGACTCGGGGCCTCCAGCCACTCCACTTGCTCGTGGAGACAGACGTTGGCGTCGCCAGCATCGCATCGCATCTGTCGTAGGCGTTCGAGTTCGTTTTCGGTTTCTGTTTCTGTTTCGGTTTCGAGTTTGTTCAGGTGATCGGTGATCGGGGACGCTGATCGGGGATCGGGGATCGGTGATCAGTGCTGAGTGCTGGGGCCTCCGACTAATTTGCGATTCTTGCGAAAAACAACCTAAGAAACACTCGTAAAAAGCAAACGCAAACAGCAATACATTCGAGGCAGAATTTACGAGCATTTGCTGCCACAGCCACTGGCACAGGCACAGGCACAGGCACTGCCCCTGCCACTGCGACTGCGACGCCTGCTGCGACGAGTTTCCATCTAAGGTCACACGGCAGCGGCATTTTTTCCACTTTGCAAGCGAAAAGTCGTTTTTCGTTTTTCGTGAGCTCAGAGCTGGCCAAATGTTTTGGGTTCGTAGACGATTTTTGGCCTCTTTGGGGGCTGGAAACTCGGCCAAAACGAGAATAATCAGCGCCAACAGCTGCCAATTATTGGGTGCCTTAATGGATACGATACACTCTAGAAGTTGGTCAGAAGAAGTGCCACACTGGACTGAATGATGCATAGCAAATAGTATACGTAATGTTACAAGATCTTGGCAAGCCAAAGATCAAACTATTCCATTCAAAGATATGACAGTCGAGTGACTGAATCTCATTCAAAGAAATAACTTTGAAATCAAGACAGAAAATTAGAGCAGCATAGAACAACACTTGATGGTAAATTCAAACGAGTTTTAAATGGAAATTATCATGACTTGGTAGATTTTGTATTTAATTTAATTAAATTTATTTTCGCTTGATCTTTTCACATGGTTGCCATTGAATGCCGAGGGAGGAGACGGGTGTGTGTGTGGGTGTGTGGGACACTACTAGACTACTTTGTAATAATTCCCCTCCTTTGCCCCATGATCTCTCTCTCTCTCCCTCTCTCTACCTACCTCTCTCTTTCTATCGTTATCTTTATCTTGTTTTAGAAGACGTAAATGTAGTATCGTAATTAGCTTAATGTACAAACAATGCCATAGAAACACATACAATATCATACACGCGGATTACATACGGATAGTATCTCGATTGGGTTATTCTTGAGGAGGAGCTGCTCCTGCTGCTGCTTCTGCTGTGGATCAAAATGATATTTATCTCAGTGTGGTGGCTGTCTTATGGTATATGGTATATGGGTACGGTACGGTACGGTACGGTATGGGTGGGGGATATGTAAGGTTGCTTAGACTAGACTCGAGTGAGACTGTATACATTTTTGATTTGATTTGATTTGACTTAAGTGAGTGGTGTGCTCTGCTCTGCTCTGCTGGGTAGTGGCGTGGGCGTGGGCGTGGGCGTGGAGTGGGGTCTAACTCTGACATTTACAAAACTTCATTCTCTACTTCGCTCCGGCGTCGCTTTCTTTGTCTGAAGGGAGGGGACTTTCTTTCTACTTGTATTGTTAAACATATACTTAGGTTCGCTTTTCGGTTGCTTAAGACTCTATTTACAATTGGTATTTTGAAGCGGCTTTGCAGGAAACGCGAGCGGGGCTGGCACTTTCCCCATGGGGGCTCATGAGCCTTGCCTTTCTCCAGTTATGAGTCGGTGCCATTAACTGATCGAATCCGTGCCCAGCCCTGCCTCATTCCGTTTATTGCTGCTGTTGTTGTTGCTGTTGTTGCTGCTGCTGCTGCTGCTGGGGCAGCAGTTGCATCGGCGACATTACAATTATGTTGGTGGTGCCTCCAGCGGCGGCTGGATCGCCGCCCTGTCCATATTCCAGGGACTTCTGCTCCTCGGGGGCCCGGGTGATGACGCAGTACTGATTGCCGTTGTAGGTGACGATGGGCATGCCGCTCATATTGCCGGGCTCGATGCTGTTGGTGGCATGCAGGCCGCTCAGCTGGGCCTGCATGTAGGTGGCCGCCGTCGGAGAATTGGCAATGATGTGCGACACCGGCACCGACACCTGCTGAACGGGTAGAGTGACAGAGATACAGAATCGATTGGCATACATTTGGGGGATAGTACAAGAAGATTGTCAAATGTCTTTCTTTGGGTGTTTGTTTCTGTAGCTGTTGTTGTTGTTGTTGTTACTGTTGTTGGTTGTTCATTGGTGATTGGTGATTGGTGTACTTGTGGATTGTTAATAGGTAGTTACTTCTTGGCCCTGCTGCTGTGTGCCGTTGCTGCCGCCGCCGTTCTGGTTGTGGTTGTGACTGTTGTGACTGTGGTTCTGGTTGTGGTTCTGGTTCTGGTTCTGGTTGCTACTACTACTGGTATTGTACATAGGCGCACTGGTGGGGGCCTGCTGCAAGTGCTGCTGTTGTTGTTGCTGTTGTTGCTGTTGCTGTTGCTGCTGGTGATGCTTTCTGGCCGCCTTCTTGCCATGTGCAACATGCTGGTGAATCTGCTGATGCTGCTGCTGCTGTTGATGTTGCTGGTGCTGATGTTGCTGCTGCTGTTGCTGCTGATGTTGCTGTTGCTGCTGCTGCTGCTGCTGACTCTGCTGATGGCTGGCATTGAGGATCATCTGATTTTGTATGATTATCTTCTGCTTGCGTGCGTGTGCATGGGCCTCCATCTGGACCTGGTTTTGATTGGCGTCCATCTGGTAGCCACGGTTCCCCTTAGCAATTACTCCGGCCGCCGCCGCTGCCGCTGGTTTTGTTGACTCTACGACTACCCGTTCCGGTTGTCAATACTGCAAATGGATCACAAAATAAAGACAGAGAGCATTGCGCTCGGGTTATATCCCAGTTCTTGAAGGCCTTATAACTATATCCTCGGGGCTACGCTGGCCTGGAGGCTCTACCGACATTTTCTCACCTCCAGATGACTCTTGGCATGGATGGACCACTCGTCCCGGCTCGAGAACATCCGCCCGCAGAGCTCGCAGGTCCACGAGAGCTGCTGCTGGCCGTGGTGTGGTATGATGATGCCGGGAATGGCCGTCGGCGCCCCCTGGGCCGACTGCACAATGATGTTCTGGGCGGCCACCTGCACGGCCTGCTGCTGCAGCTGCAGCTCCAGGCTCTGTTTGTTGTCCTCCGGCGGCGGGTCGGGCTGCTCCTTCTTCTTCACCATGTTGTTCAGCCGCTTGCCCAGCGGCGCAATGTTCGTGGGGGTCACGTGCTTGAACTTATTCATGTGGATCACCAGCTTGTCCCGCCGCGCGAACGCCTTATTGCACACCTGCCGGGGGGCGATGGAAGAAAGGGAACAGGATGTTAGAGGCTTCTCTCCCAGACAGAGGCCGGGGGCCAAGGGGATCTAGGGCAGTTTATACTTCACAAATATAGGGCTTCTCGCCGGTGTGGATGCGCATGTGGATGGTGAGCTTGTCCTTGCGGGCCAGGCCCTTGCCGCAGACTGTGCACTCGAACGCCTTGTTTGTGGCTGGAGAGAGGAGATCATGAATGAGCCACAGTGCCATGTGAGGATGCTCTGCAATACTCACACTTCGAGGGATTCGTCTTGCGAACGCCGGAGGAGGCCTGCTGCACCTGCTGCAGCGCCTTGAGCCGGCTGGCCGGATGCATGGAGCCGCCCTCCACATACGGCTCGGTGAATGGTATGAGGTTTGGCTTGGGTATGTTGTAGGTGAGCTGCTCCGCCGCCGACCAGGTGCCCAGGCTCTGCAGCACGCGGACGCCCCCCTCGAAGCCCATCCCGTCGTCCGGCACCGTGAAGGTGCTCTCACCGCCTGCCGCGGCGGCGGCCACGCTCGAGGAACTGATCTGGGGCACCTTTATGGTGGCCGCGTAGTGCTGTTGCTGCTGCTGCTGTTGCATGCCGTTATTCTGATTGTTGTTGCTGGGGGAGTTCTGCTGCTGGGAGGATTGCTGCTGCTTGAACTGGATGGCCGCCTGGGCCATCTGCTGCTGTACGGCCATATGGGCCTCTAGATATGCGTTCTTCTGGGCGACCGTCATCTTGTCCATGTTAACGGCGCCGTCCTGCAGAAATAATTGATATATTAATTGATGTATAACCAATTGTGGAAAAAAACAAACGACTTTGAACCAGCGGAAATGGGAAACTTGGGGAGTCCCCAGACAGCAATACTGTTGCCAGAAATCACCTCTTTTTCAAGTCTTTTTAAAGATAATTCCACAACAAATTGAACATTTTACTAGAAGATGTCGCTTACAACTGATTAAATCGGATAATTATTTCCAATAGGGTGCCCTAGGAACGATCGGAACATTCAATGTACTATGGACACACAGATATTGTACATAAAAAAACTAAAAAATAGTCAAAATCTTAATCGTTGCAATAAGTTCAATGAATTTGCAAGGGTATCCAAAGCTTCGGGCCCCCAAGTCGGTCATCCGCCTTTCTTTCTTGGTTTCGCGCTTGTTTCGTTTCCGTTTTGTTCCGTTCCTGCTGGCACTGCCACCCCTAACAAACTAGCTGGAGAGCTGTGAGGGAGTGTTGCGAAATTTCGTCAACGTCAGCGGCGCGGCTGTGGATACGCCGCCACACACGCCACCCCCCGGAGGAAAAGCACTCAAGCACTCGGCCTGCCCTTGCGCAAAAATTTGTGACTTGAGCTTTTTCTCGCCATCCAACCCATCCCCCGCCCCACTGCTCTCCCACCCTCCTTTGTGGTTGTGTGTGTATGCCGGTTGCTTCAGCCTGGCCCGGGCCCGGGCTCCGTCTCCGTGTCCGTGTCCGGCGGTGTGGGGCTTTTCTGTGTCTGCCCGGATTTATTTTAAGCGCGCTACCAGCCGTAGTGCAGATCTTTTTCTGTCTTTTCCTTTCGTCAACACGGCACTTTGTCCACCTTTATGAACCCTTGCACCCTGGCACCCTTGCACACCCCCACGCGCGCACTTGGCCAGTTTCACAGTTCACTTCCTGGTCCCGTGCCCGTTTCCGTGCCCGTTCCCGTTGCCGTCCCCCGCCACGCAGGGGCTATTGACGTTTTCACTGCCAGTTGGCGTTTTCCTTCTTACCACAGTCGAAAATCAATACGAAATGGCCGCTCGGTCTGTCCCGGGGCAGCGCTTGGCGTTTGGCGCACAAAATTCACACACAGCACACGAAAACCGCTGGTAATTACGGGCAGCTTCTGTTCTGTTCTGCTCTGTTCCGTTTTTATATTTTCACAAACGCGAATTCGGAAATCGGGGGAGATCGCTTAAGCCCAAATGGAATTCGATGCCGTCTACTTCCTCGAGCCAGAGCCCAGCGCCTATTGTTGTGTATGTATATTGCGAAACTGCCACCTCGGCCACAGTCGCTGCCGCAGTCGAAGTCGCAGTCGCAGTCGCAGTCGAAGCAGCGCTCTCGTCAGTCCAGTGTCTCTGTCTCCGTCGCAGGGAAAGCTTTGCTTTGCTCCTGACTTTGCCGGGTCGGAGCGGAGCAGCGGAACAGCGGAGCAGCGGAGCAGAATGTTTGAGTAATTATTTGTTATGCTCGAAAAGACGGAGAGAGGCCGAACGCAGGACGAATGGGAAGGTAGCGACGACGACGACGCTAGCAGAGGCAGCGGCAGACAGATACTGAAAGACCGAGCAAGGCGGAAGCGGCACCACGACACCGGAGCAGAGCAGAGCAGAGCAGAGCAGAAAGCATTGCATAGCGCACGGCGTCGGAACTGAGATTCGCACGAGAGCTTTTTCCCCTCTCTTTCCATGGCAGTGGCTCGCTCTCCCACTCTCACCTCTCGCCATTATGGTACGGTACGGTGGTGGGTACTCAGTGGAGGAACGGTTTGGCATTGAAACACGACACCAGAGGAACTGCAGCTCTCACAATGGCATTGTTGTAGGGGGCTGCTTATCACAGCACCGTGGTTCGGCGGTCGATTAAGCTGACTTCAAACCAGCAGGGAAGCCAGGGATGTTCGGATGCTAAGGATTTGCACCTGCGGGAGGCCACTGTGCGGAGCTTACCTGAAAGTGTAGCGTGCTTCTCGCCGCACGCATGGCAGTGGCATACTTCCGCAGCGTCAGCTCGTTGTTCAGGCAGATCTGGCGCCACTCGTGAAGGTGCTCCAGCGTGGCCAGGCACCGGTCACAGATGTACTGGGGCAGGAGGTCCTCCTCGGCGACCTGCCAAGCAGTGGGGCTCATTAGCCGGATATACGGATATACGGCGCGCTTGTTGATCCGCAGACTACTTACGTGCGCCAGCAGCAGGCTGCGGAGCTTGTGGAGCAGCTGCCGCTGCATGGCCTCCTCCGCGAAGAGGTGGATCTTGGCCGGTCCCCGGTGGATGACGCACAGGCGACACAGCTCCCCGAAGGAGGTGAAGTTGAGATCGTCGTGGCTGCCATTTGTTGCATGTCCATGTCTCTGTGTCGGTTGCAACAGTTGCTGCCCCGTGTTGACAGTGGCAACTGTTGCAGCGGAGTGCGGCGGTGGTGCGTGTGTATGCAACATAGCGGATTCAATTTGGGTCAAATTACATTAGAGCCGCTTTCATAGACACAAATCAGAATATGGTAATGCCTCCCTCCGACCCGTTCCCCTAGCCACAGGTGAATCGGAAAAATCGATGCAATTTCAATTGGTGGCAATTAGTCCATTATCCATTGTCCGCCCGATAATTGGGTTAATTGCATTCACCCACAGTTGCCGTTGCCGCTTTCCTGCCGTGCCTGCAACTATGCCACACACTCGCGTGGCCCACAAATTACGTGTATTCTGATGCCCACAGTTTGTTCTCGTTTTACTCCATTTTTTATTGGACACTTGCTGGAAAAATGCAAAGGAAAACTCTGCTCACTCTGGCGGGAAAGTCGAAAGCGCTCTGACGACGTTGTTATGCCTCTGCTGCTGCTGCCGCTGCTGTTGCTGCTGCACTTGCCACGTCCTGTGCGACGGTGTGAGTGGACGGACGAGTGAGAAACTACAGGCCCAGTACCCTTTCCTCTGCTTCTGCGAGTGCGCATTGCCCGCTGCAGGAGGGCCGCAGTGGCAGCGGAGGGGGGAGGGAGGCAAACAAATTGCGCGCATTTTTTTGCTTGCAGTTTTTACATTTTTTCTATGCATGTGGCAGGGGCAGGGGCAGGGGCCAGAGGCAGAGGCAGAGGCAGAACGGAACAGAAAAAAACATTTGGAAAAGCTTAAATGATGAGGCAACAGGTGTGGGGTGGGAGACCTAATCAGCCGCAGCTGGAGCTGGAGCTGGGGCTTCTTCGGCAGCCACTGGAGCAGCTTCTGGAGCAGCTTCTGGAGCAGCTTCTGGAGCAGCTTCTGGCTCCGACTCGGACTCGCTTTGAGGCTTCGGTGGTGGAGGCGGCGCCACCGTGCTGTGATCCGACTCGATATCCGAGCTGTCGAGCTGCTCGCCCTCGCCCTCCTCCTCGACCTCCAAGGCTTCGTCCCTGGACGCCTCTTCCTCCGGAACAACTTCTTCGTAGACGATAACCTCCTTCCACAAGATCTCCTCGCCCACGCAGGCGGGCTCCTCGCTCTGGGGCTCCACGCGCTTGTCGAGATCCAGCTCGGCTGGGCACGGCTCGGAGCGATCGAAGCCGCCGCAAGTGACACACGAGGAGGATGTTAGCAGCATGGAGGAGTGCGGCGAGCTGCTGGACAGCAAGGAAGTGCTGCTCTTGGACTTCTGCTTGTCGCGCGGCTGGGCGTCTCGAGCGGCCGAGGGATATGTCATGACAGTCTGCTGCGCCTTGTTCTGGATGCCCACATCGGGACGCTCCTGGCACTGGTTGCTTACTTGCGGCAGCTTGGGGTTGCTGCGCACCAAGTAGTCGGCTACGCGCATCTTCCAGTTGTCCTGGCTGCAGTCCGCGTTCTGCAGGATGTGGTAGACCTCGCCGATCAGGGGCTTCAGCATGGGTCGGTTGCAGAACCTTTGGCGCTCGAAGAAATCAGTGGGCTCGTGAATGTCTGAGGGTGTCCAGAGAGATAGAGGGATCTCAGAGAATGAACTCCAGTCGATTGATACTCACAGTTCGGAAAGATGAAGTTGATCTCGCGAGCCACGCTCTGGGCGTGCTTGGTCACGTGTATGTTGCGCTCTAGGTCCGCGGACGTTCCGCTGCGGGTACAATGTTCACATGGAATGGAAGAAGTTTCCTGCGAAGGTAGAGCACACTTACAAATAGCAGATCATGGTGTTGAGCAGCGTCTGCACCGCATTCTCTTTGGTCACAATGAAGGCTTCCGAGACGCCCTTGGACAGCAGTATAACCTCCAGCATGAAGCCCTGCTCGTCGGCATAGTCCGCATAGAACTCGGCCGCCAGCTCCGGGGAGAAGGCCAGCTTGCGGCTACCCTTCAGCAGGAAGCCCTCGGCCAGCAGTTTCAGTAGCACCGGACGACGCTTGTGCAGATAGTCTGGCTTTAGGATCAGCAGCGAGGTCTCAAACATGATATGATACTAAATATATAAGGATCCAGGAAACTATGGGAATTTTTGCTTTCTGTTGGTTTTTGAAATATAATTGTACACGATTCGACTGCTTAAACTACGCCCACTGATCCGTAGTGGCTTTCGGGTTGACTGGCTGGAGAGTGAGCGAGAAAAAAAGCCTGAAATTTTCCGATTCAATACGGTACAAATGGCGATGTTTTGATAAAAGAGACACTGTCGACACTGATTCTAGCCGAACGAACAAAACGAGTACCGAATGCAGAGCTCTAATAGAAACACAGTTGGGGGCGATGTTCGGATTCGCTAATATTTATATTGAATGTACGATTAGGTTACAGCTTAGTGTTAATTTTAGTTTCTGTTACAGTTCAACTTGTTCAGCCCGGTGTTCGCGTGCACTTTAAAATCATCTAGTATCTTCATCTTCATCACAAATCTTCATCTCTTAACCAATTTAGAGCCGAATTTACAACCAAAATCAATCCAAAATACGAGTGCGGAAATATAGTAAGTAAGGGTCGGTCATTTACAGTAAATCGTTATAGAATGTAAACGGATTATGTAAAGATATATGTATATATAAAGCGTGGGACTGTGTCACCCTCCTCCTTCTCCTTCTCCTTCACTCCACACATCATCACAATGCGGTTGTCGCGAATCACAGGATCGGCTGCTTAGGCTGCAATCAGAAATCGGGATACTCGTGAGTGGTGGGATATGCAATTAATGGCTAAATAATTTACCCGAAATCCTGGCAAAGGCCAACGAAGACTTCTCGCTGTCGAAGCACTTGCCGATCTCGGCGCATACGTGCGACTGATCCACATAAGGTCGCTCGGACAGATGCTTAAAGCTGTTGCCATAGATGGAGATCATTTTAGAGCACTACCGAGAGGGAAGATAAATTAAATAACAACATCTGGTTGGGGGTGGGAGGGTCTTAGGAGCCTTACAATGCTGTAGTACTTGGCTGGCAAGTTCTCGCAGGCCACCGAGGTCATTTCGACTGTGGTCACATCGGTATCCTTCGAGCGGGCGCTGAGGAAGGGCAACAGGACTTGGGTGGCGCCGTGGCAGACTCCGCACTCGATCACCTCGTCGGTGACCACTTGGCTGAAGCAGAGCTGCAGCTTCTGGCACACCTCCTTGGGCGGCACCTTGCTGAGCAGATCGATGACAGCGGCGGCGTAGCCCTCGACGAAGGTGTCGCACGGCTTGCGGACGGTGGCGGGCAAGTGGTCGCACACCGCCAGAATGGCCCGCTTGATATCGTCCTGTTCGGTCTTGTTCTTCAGATCAGCCTCCAGCTTGGTCATGACGAACTCGCATAGGACGCAGGTGGGCGGCTCCTTGGGCTTGGGCGACTCCTCGAGGCGGGCCAGCTGATCAGCCGGATGGGGCAGAGCAATGACATCGTACTTGAGGGCCTCGTCAATTTCAACTAAAGGGAAGGACGTTATTTGTGCTGCTTCTGCCTGCCTCGATTCTGGCTCTACTCACGATCATCCAGTTCGGAGAACAGGCACAATCCCAGTTCGGCGCAAATCAGTTTGGGATCCATCTCCTTCAGCAGGAGGTCGGCAATCTGGTCTCCGAATTTGTCGATCAACTTGTGGCACTTGCTGGCAACCGGCTTCTTGAGCTTGTCGCACGACTGCTCCAGGGCCTGCTTGATGCTGTCCTTGGTGGGGTGCTTGCCCATCTTCTTCTCGACGGTCTTCACGAGCTCCTCGCAGATCAGGCAGTTCGGTGCACCATTGTAGTCCCTCTCGAAGACCACCTCAATAGGCAGTTGCTCGAGGGAGGCTACCTCGTTGAAGAACAGCTCCTCGCTGCTGCTCGATTCGTCATCTTCCATGCTGATGCCCATGTCGTCCAGATAGTTCTTGGTCTTGGGGCACAGTTTGAGCTGCACGCAAATCTCCTGCGGCTTGAAGTCGGTGATCAGCAGGTCGATCAGTTCGTTGGAGTACGTGTTCACAAAGTCCACGCACTCGGACCTCAGCTTGCTGGGCAGATGGACGCAGAGACCGGCCAGAACCTTCTTGATGTTATCCTGCACAAAAACACAAACGTTAGAGAAAGATCTCCACGAGTGTGGGACTCCTGTGGGATGCTCACCTTGGACTTGTTGTCGCGGATCTTGATTTGCGCCTGTTCGACGGCAAAGAGGCACAGCGGGCAGGTGGGCTGGTCCTGCTGATCGCCGGAGGTCACGGGCACCGGGTGGAACACCTCGATGTCCTGCTTGTTGTCCACGTTGTGGGGGCACATTTGCAGCTTGGGGCACACTTCGCGGGGATTGAGTCCCTGGACAAGGAGGGCGATCACGGCATCTCCGTACATCTCCACAAAGTTGCGGCACTGGCCGGCCACGCCCTTGGGGAACTTGGTGCACATGTTCTCGACGGTGTGCTTGATCTCGTCATCGGTGGCTGGGGTGGCCAGGGTCTCCTGGATGAAGTGCAGCAAGTACTCGCAGATGGTGCACAGCTCGCCGCCCTCCACGAGCAGGCTGGGATTCGCGGCACCCATCAGATGGTCGATGGGCAGCTGCATGCCGATGAGCTGGTCCTGGGTGAACTTGGGCTCGTGGGCTCCCAGCTTCTGCAGCTTCGTGATGGTCACCTGCACTTGGGCGGGCTCAATGGCGGGCAGGAGAGGCATGATCGGGGCAACAGGTGTGGCGTGTGGTCCGGCAGCGTTCTTGGGGCAGACGCCAATGAGGAAGCAGGCGCCGTTGGCATCCAGCTTATTCACCAGGGTGTTGTAGATCACGTCGTAGTACTGGTCCACGATGCTGATGCACTCGTCCTTGAAGCCGCGCGACTGCTTGCAGAAGCCCTCCAGCACCTGCTTGAACTCCGTTTCCGTGGTGTTGGCCACGAGGACATCGCGCAAATGCTTCACCAGCTGCTCGCACAGCGCGCAGGGAATGTCATCGCCGGCATCGAGGGCAACCAGTGCCTCGGGCGCCTGCTTCTCCTCCTCGTGCTGGTGGTACCGCGAGGCACACACTCCCGAAACGTGGCAGAGCGCATCCGTGTTCAGATGCTGGCGCACATGGTCGTAGATTTCGTTGAAGTACGACAGCACAATGTTGGCGCAGGCGTCCGAGAAGCTGGACAGCGAGCCGCACACGTGCAGAAGCTGCTCGACCATGTCGTCGCGGTTGGTGGCCTCGAACTTCTCGTGCATCATGTACGAGAGCAGGTTGCAGTTGCCGCAGGACAACTGGTTGGGCTTCAGGATCACACTGGTCTCCTCCTCGGACGAGTCCTCCTCCTGTACCTTGCCTTCGAGTGCGGCCTGGTAGGCGCCCTTCAGCTTCTCATCGATGGAGGCGCTGTTGCAGAGCCCGGCCACTGAGCAAACTTGCTGTGGAATCGCCGACAAAGAAGTATAAGCATAAGGGGGTTCAATGGATTGCGGGAGAGAAGACTCACGTCGGGGTTCATTTGGGAGGCCAGGGCCTCGACCAGCTCCGGCAGGAAGTCGTCGGCCATCTTGATGCACTCCTTCTGGATGGGCTTGATGGGTATCAGCTTGCAGGAGCCCTCGAAGACCTCCTTCAGCTCCTCCTCGGTCTCATTGCTCTTCAGTTGGTCGCGGGCCTGCGTCACCATGTCCTTGCATATCTGGCAGATGGAGTCCGTGTCCACGGGCACCACCTTCTTCTCCCACACGGTCTGGATGCAGTGTCGGGTGGCCCGGCATTCCTTCGAGTTGCTGCAGCGGATAGAAAACAAAGAAAACAAAGATACTGTCAGCTTGAATTTCTCCGAAAACCCAACCCCGATAAGCCCAAAGAACGAAAGCAATTAGGATATGGCTGATGCAGCAGTAAAACCGACCGAAGCGCGGATCAAATGACCCGCATTCGTAATCGAATGACCAAGGCGCCGAGTCAGCAGAGAGAGAACCGGAGGGATCAGAGTCCACCACTGGAAAGGCAGAAACCACGAGATGGGGCGCTTCCCTTTCAGTTGAATGCACCCGCAGAGCATGTGATTACTGCTGACTGATGGATAATATTGGATAATATTTTGCATGGCTCTGGTCCGTTTATTGGTCTGATTGAATCTATGGAGTGGATTTCGATGTGCTAATGGCTAATGCCTATTAGCAACAACAACACAAATGTGTGTTTTCCTTTTGCCTAAATACAGACAGAAATACACGTACGTCTAGGGAGAGTGGGGCGGGGGGGGAGGAAAAACAACAAAAGATAAGCACGGAAACGTCTTGAATACATATGTGTGTGGCTATGTATGTATGGGTTGTATATCTGGGTACATCTACACAAATATTATATGGTTGTTCATTTGTGGTGTATGTGATATTGTTTTTAATATTTTCAGCAATGGCGACGTTTTTTTGTCAAACAAAGAACGGTTAAGAGAAATGCTGAATTTTCGTCGAGAGGTGTTTAAAAATAAATCAATCAAAGAACAAAGGAATCGGTTATGGTACTATATGGTAAACCTAGCGATAAGTCCAACGATAAGGAACCCCGTTTGTAAAAACTACACCCGTACCGTATGTGACACATGCATTTGGGATTAGTCAGGTTCAGTCATATACATAGTTATGCCGATAGCGAGCAGAGCAGAACAGATCGGCTGTCAAATGCTCCCCAGATCGCATGAACTCTGGCTTAGTCATGCAAATAGTGGGGCGGTTGATGAAGCAGAGACTGATTAACTTTGTTCAGCTGCAGGCGTCGGATTGTTAATTCGATTAACGGCAAGAGCGTCGAAAACAAAGCGCACTGAAGAACACAGAGAGAGAGAGGGAGGCATAACTGCAAAACAAGAATAGGACGGAGGAACTAGAGCAGTCGCCACAAAGGTTATCGGGAATGGCGACGACAGTCGCGACGAATACTATTGCGGTGATTGCAGATTGATTGTCTTATCGTTGGGAAAGGAACACTTATGGCTCGCAAACAATGAACAAACGGGGAGAGGCCATTGGGTTAAGAACTGCTGCTGTTCTCGCCTAGATAGATTTCCGATGACTAGGCACTTTTCCCCACCCCAACGCGCACTGCACTCACCTTAAATTGTCACACCAGTAGGTGGGTCCCCAGGTGCATTTGCTGGCGCCGACCAGTTGCTGGGCGCCACCGCTGACGGGCGACGAGGAGGCGATGCCTGAAATATTGCAACACACATAAACATACACATATATTTTAGTTTACAAATCAATCACGCTT